GGAACAGAATTTATTTGGGAATTTGTCATTAACCATGGAAGATCCTACTTTGTTCCATTCATTTGATCTATTCATAGATACCGTCAGATCAAATGCAGAGCACCGAGAATGTGTGATCACTATCTGGAGGTTGCTTGTTAGTTCCGAGTTCCTTACCAGGACCTCCTGTTTTAAGATAACTCATGCAAGTGGTTACTATAGGGCCTGGCCAGCACGAGCTGTTTCGGTCAGTGGTTCCCCTAACAATATGACAAGAGGAAAGTCAAAGAAGTTTACCTCTCTCTGGATTTGTTTACATCTCAAGAGGATGGTGTGGAGAGGGAAGGGAAAGGGGGACTGATATGAATGACCTCACAGTGTGATGGAACCTGTATTCTAGACCCTGTCTTGGACACACCTCTGCCTCAGATGGGCTCAGACAGGTGCCTGGGCCATGGATGAACTCACCCTTGCACAGGGGCATTCATCTCAATCTTGGACTACTGAGAAAGCATGAAGGCTCAAGGTCCAGGTCCAAAATATGTATCATTACTGAGGCCTCTGAGCAATGTAGTTCTGAGCAGATTACTTTGGGGCCAGGAGAAATCTGGAACCACAGTTCTGGGAGGCCAATGGCCCAGCATTGCCCAAGAAGACCAGGAAACAAGGAGTGGGTCTATTGGTGAAGGACAGTATTTTCAGGGGCTACTTTTTATTTGGTCCATATTTTTCTTCACTCCACCTCTAGGCAGAGTCCCAGGCAGAAACTAAGGGCCATACTCAAGCAGTTTAATTGAAGAAAATTTAGCCAAGAGAGAGAACCAGCAAAGGACAGTGGAACACTAGCGTCTAACAATTGCAGGAAAACATTACCACCCCTGAGCCTGAAAGAGCAAGAGCAAAAGAAGAATGTATTCATTTCCTATGGCTGCTATAATGAATTACCACAAACTTGGTGCCTTAAAACAACAGATTTCTTTTCACAGTTCTGGAGTCCAGAAGTCTGAAATCAGTTTCACTAGGCCAAACTCAAGGTGTTGGCTGGTTCACACTCCTTCTGGAAGTTCTAGGGGAGAATTAGCTTGGTGGCTAAAGCAGTATGTGAATTTAATGAGGATGTTTTTAAATAGGAGAGACATACTAGACTTGTTTAAAGTGATAATGAAATGAGTCACTAGAAAAGGAGAGATTGAAAAGTGGAAAGAGTGTGAGAGCAAAGTCCTAAAGGAGGCAGAAAGAAATGGTGTCTCTGACAATGTTGGGATGGATAGAAGCTAAGTGGTGGGCGTGGAAAGTGTGAAGGACAGAAGGTTGTGCGTGGGGAGCAGATGGCAGGCACCTTGTAAAAGCAGAGGCGGAGGAGGACTTCTGGAACAGGAATTAAAAAGGGAAGGATAAGATTCACCGGTGGGAGAGGAAAAGCACGGGCAGCAGATGCTGCATTACCCACAAGCGCGGGGATTCCTGCCTGCCAAGACCCCAGGGTTCCAGATAAAAGGCAGAATGTTTGCTGGATGATTCATCCACGTGGACATTGATTCAACAAATGTTTACTGAGCAGTTACTCTGTCATGATGTCACTCAGAATGAAATGAGACGTGAAATACAGCAGAAAACTATAAGCCAGATGCCAAAGTCATGTACATAGGAGATCAGGAGGAGACTAAGAGGCAGGAGAGCATGAAGGTAAAAGGAGTGTTCTGTAAAGAGTTGAGACTTACTTTAGTTTCAGATGTACTGTGAAAAAACTAGTCAGAAGATGGGTCCCAGGAAAAGGAATCAGTCAGCATCACAAAGATGACAATGGAAGTGAAAATTCTTCATTTGGGCAGTGGTCAAATGATGACTTGAACATGAGGTTGGAAGGAATTAGCTGGCCACACTGCTCCAAGAGAAATGCTGGTATACATTTTTAAAAAAAATTATTACAGAAAATTTCAAATAGACACAAATTAGAAAAGTGAACTTCAGTGTATTCTTCACCCAGATTAAACAATAATCAACATTTGCCAGTCTTGTTTAGCAATCCCTCCCTGACTCCCCTTTTATTTATTCCTGGAATATTTTAAAGTTAGACCAAGACATCATTTGTCTCGTCAGTATGTATCTTTTAGCCAGTAGGACTTTTTCTTCCTTTTAAACATAACCATAATATCATTATCACAACTAATAAAATTAACAGTAATTTTTAAAGTTGTTTTGACAACAGCAGACTGAAGCATTTGTTAGGGGTTCTAAATAAAATCACTGGTGTTTAGGAAGCCTGAAAAGAAATGCTTATACAGGGACAGGATTAGCTCTTTGACAGTACCATTAAAAATTATTTTGCTAACACACCATTGTAAAGCAATTATACCCCAATAAAGATGTTTAAAAAAAATTATTTTGGAAAATATTAACGTGGGGAAATTTATGTTAATATTAACATATTAACATGGGGAAAGTTCAAGATGAATGTATATAGTAAATCCTTTGTTACATATAAACTATAACTTTTTGTTATGTATAAACGTGTACACACAATCCATCTCCATATCTAGCATATGCAGATACACAGATATAAGAAGAAGAAAAAAAGTCTGAAAGAACATTTACTAATATGTCCAGGGATTATCTGAGTGATGGGACCAGTGTTTATTTTTTGCTTTTCATCCCTTTATGCTTTTCAGCGTGTGTGCCTGTGTGTGTGTGTGTGTGTCAGGGTGAGGGGTTGGGCGGCAGGGAGAATGTTGAGGAAGGATCGTGGCCTCTTTAACGGAGCTGAATTAATATTTAGCGAAGAAAGTGACTTATCTTCAATCTCACAGTCCACAAATCAGAAAAGCGGATTAATACATAGTAGGCACGGAAAACACATGTTAAATGAATAAAATCTAACGGAAAAGGGTGGAAGCTTCACTCTGATTTATCAATTTTTTAGAAAAAGAAGTGACAGAGATTCAGGCTAGGAGACCATCCAGAAACGAGGCCCAGTGGTATCGCCACATCACGTTGCGTGGCACCGCCCACCCCGCCAGCCTTTAGAATCTTCAGCAGAAAGTTGATGACGTCACATAAGGTTTTCAGTGAGGATGGGAATTGGTCCTAAGGCTTCTGGGAAATGGAGTCTGGGCGCTGTGACGACTGCGAGTCTCCGAGGTTTCTGGGAATTGTAGTTCTCAGATGTAGGATCAGCTCTTTGGCCGATCTTGCTTCAGAGCGCCCCCGGGGAAGCGGGAAGATGGCGTCTGGGGTGGTCGCGGGACCCCATCCGGTGGTTCTGGGAGTGGCCATCGCAGCCTTGATGAGGGGAACTGGAGCACACACGGTCACCATAAAATTCCGGGAGCACAGCCAAAGCGCAGAGCTCTGAGGCTCTTACCCCCGCGGTGGTCTTCGCACTCACGCGCCTCCTTCCCTACCCGGGTTCCCGAGGAATGGCCTAGGCGTCCGGACGTGCGAGGACAGGGACGGCAGCTGGCCTCCGCGGGAGCCACCTGCAGGGCTCGCAGAAGAGGGCCCACGCTGAGCGCCTAGATGTGGGCTCCATGCAAGGACGGAGATTATTTTGAAGACATTGTTCAGTGTGAGCCGAGTCACAGTGCTTTTGGCTGCATTGGAAAACCCTCTGTTTCTCCTTAGAATAAAGCTCCCCACTCCAGATCGCTCTTATCTTCTGACCCGATTTTCCACCAGAAATCCCAAAAGTTTTTGGTTCCAAATCGACTTTAAAGATGCAAGTTAATCATATCAGGCGTTCAGCTTTTTAATGTTTTGTATTCATGGCTAACTGCTGAGTGTGTATCAGAAATTCCTCCCTCCATACCTTAGGTAGCTTACAGGAAAGTTAACAACAGCAATTAAGGAAGTGCTGGTCTCTCTTCTTCCTTGCCCGTATCTAGTCACCAGTTTCATAGGATACTTACTTTATACTGTCTCCTCATCTGACCACTGCTCTGTTCCACAATACCACTATTCTAATACTTCAGCTTCTCACCTAGTTTCTGCGTGCTGTCTCTCTCATTTCCAAACCACCTTGTCTCCTCTACCAAATTAATCTTCTCCCCGAAACAAAATTTTTATTACCATGATCAAAAACCTCCTGTAATTCCCTCATTGCCTAAATGATTAAATCCACACACAAGCTAGTACTCAGGGCAGCCACTGTCTAGTTATCCAATTCCAAATAAACTTTCTTATTTTTATTTCACTGAACTCCCTGCCATAGACAGTCCAGTTCATCTATTGGAACAAACAGAGCATTTTCCTACCTCTATACCTTTACTTACACAGTTCTTTCTTTCCCAGATCTTGCCAGGGCCCAGCTTAAGAGATCCAGTAGTGGGGTCAAATCCTGATCCTCGGGTAAGCTATTTAACATGTGTAAATTTCAGTTTCTTCATCCCATAATGTGGTAAGTTAAGAGACTCAAAAAGAGCTTTTCTTCTGGCACCCAGTAATTACTTGATTATCTCTACCCTCTGCTCCTTCTAACCCCACTCCACCCCAAGAAGAATCTTTATATATGCCTTTCTGAGACTTCTACTATGAACTAAATATTTATTCACTGGAAAACATACTATATGCTAGGTGTTGTAGAGAACACATAATTTAATTTTAATTTTTTGTTATCAAGCACATTGTGTAATTACATGAAGGCCAGTGGAGAAATTCATCTTAACTCTATTAGGCTTTCCTTGAAGAATGGACATTTTCTCCCCTTCCAAATACAATGTAAGCAAATGACCATCTCACTTTCATACCTGAATAACTATCTGGCATACCATAATTTGTCATGATCTTGATCTTCTAGGCATTTTCTTCTTTAATACCGATTTGTATTTTTTCAGTTTTGTATTGTATCATATCTTGTAAGCCGCCTTGAGTCATTTTTGACACACAATAGAGTTATAATAAAATAGATGACAATTGTCTGTGATGGCAGAAGAAATATCTTCTTACTTATTTGACTGTGATCCTAGTTTTCCATTCTGTGGAGTTACAGACACTTTAGGGATGAAATGAAAGACTACAGGCAGATATGAAGGAATAGAATCATAACAATTAGCATTTATTGAACACTTACTATATGTCAGGCACTGTTTTCATCACTTTATATGAATAAACCCACATACTCCTTAAAACAATCTCATGAAGTGGAAAGCCAAGAGACCAGCATCCCAGGAGCTCTGAAGGAGAGTCAGTCCCAAGGCTTAATGTATATAATTCAAGGTAGGACAAAAAGGACAAAAATATTTATGAGGTAATCTCACCATTCAAAAGAGTAAAGTGACTGCATTATTAAATTAAACCCTCCTGACTTAGATTAAAACTACAACCCAGGCCTGCATTGTACTATGTATTAGATGGGGCTTCTAAGAGATTTAAGACAATTTCTAACTTCAAAAAAGTTCATGGAAAAAAGCACCTGACAGAACCAGAGAACAGAATAAGAAAGTATGTAATACAGGAGAATAAGGAAAACCATCACTGTAAAGGACTTCTAAGGGGGGGGGGTGGTGCTGAAATTATCACAGAGGAGGCAGGACCTGACCAGGGCCTTTTATAAAGTATGGATAGATTTCTGGAGATACAGGGAGGAAAGCAGGGTATGTAAAATGGTGCCACGGAATAGTTTGAAGCGGAGCCAAGTGTGAAGAGAAAGGGTGTCGTAGAGACAAAGGACAGGGCTGCCCAGTTGTACAGGGGAGTAATGGAAAATATGTAAATAGATCCAACTGTGCAAGGTCTTCAAGTTAAAGTCCTTTGAACTTTTTCCTTGGGACAATGGGAAACTGTGGATTCTTTCTGAACCAAGTGGTAGTTTAGTCAGGCAGCTATATAAAGACAGGGAGACAAGAGCAGCAACAATGTGTTTACTCTGGTAATCTAGGCCCAAACTACTGAGGACTTGGCAGCAGCAGTAGGAATAGAGAGAAAGAAATCAACTATCAAGACATTTCAAATAAATCCTAGCAGACTGATTAACCAGGATAGATAAAGAGGAATCAGTAAGCAATAATTTTGGGGCATTTAGTGACTGCTCAGCACTGTGTGATGTTTTATAGGGATCTAAAACAAGATTTCTGTTTTCAAGAAGCTTACAATCTAATTGAATAACATGAAGTACTATAAGCCAATAAAATGAAATTATTCTGGTCCAACTCTTGCCCAAGTCACAGAGCTGATCATTGTTAATCAGAGAAGTGCTGGGAGGTAGGAAAAGTGTGGATCAGCACAGAATAATGGATCCCAGAAGCTCACGTTTTAAGGCATAGGAGTGGCCAAAATTACCAATTCTGCAAATGTCAAGTAGGAAGAGGACTGAGAAAAAGGCACTGAGTTTGTCTTTGACAGATCAACTTAACAAGGCTGGTGAGAGTCAGAACCAGATGGTATATGTTTCATGAAGTCTGTAAACAAAAGAAAAGTTTTTAAAATAGGACAGCAATTTTTTAAAAGATAATGGAGGAACTAAGATTTTTAGGACCTTCTTGGTAAGGATAAGATAAAATAACACTGGGATTAGTTAGGCACATTAGAACTATGGGCTATACTTTGAGGAAACTATGCTATAGCAAAAAAGGTAAGGGAGGAAGGAAGAGAAAAATTTGTCCATATAATTCGAGACTGAATTTTTTATCCCCAAACTGGTGGGAATTTTTTATCCTAATCTGAAGCCAGCTACTTCTCTTCTGCCACTGGAGCCAGCAAGCATGAAAATACACACACATGGTATTTCCTCTTTTAAGTGAAGGAGCTGATGTGGTTGGGAAAGAGAGGGTTCACTAGTGGTTCAGGGATCCAAGCTCCATGGAATAGATAAGGTGAGGAACTGCAAGGTGTTAGGTAGCTGTATATTCTAAGATTGGAGCCCTCCAGAATATTAGAGTGAATATGTTAGGTTTTAAAATTCATCCCCTTGTTGGATTGATCACTCATTTGAGCATTTAGTTTACAAAAAGGAAGGAAGGCTAGCTTGAAACTGGCTTAGAGCTAGCTAGTAGGAAGGAAAATTCAAACAAGTATATATGTTTCTTTTCAGCTGTGGGAGGTTATGCTGTGTGCTCTTGTGCTAACATTAAGGAAAGCACAGATATTACTCTTTAGTGTGAAGTTGCTGATGTCTGATGAGAGATGAACTCTGACTGAAGGCTTTTCCACAGTTATTACACTTGTAAGGCTTTTCTCCGGTATGAGTTCTCTGGTGAATAATAAGGGAGGAGCTCCGGCTGAAACCCTTTCCACACTCTCTACACTCGTGGGGCTTTTCTCCAGTGTGTATTCTCTCATGTTCAACAAGGGATGAGCTCCGACTGAATACCTTCCCACAGTCACTGCACTCATAGGGGTTCTCCCCAGTGTGTGTTCTCTGATGTTCAATAAGAGATGAGATCCAACTGAAAGCTTTTCCACATTCACTGCATTCATAGGGATTCTCTCCAGTGTGTATTCGTTGATGCTGAATTATGGTTGAATGGTCACTGAAGGCTTTCCCACATTCATTACATTTGTAAGGTTTTTCTTGAGTATGAGTTCGCTGATGCTGACTAAGGTTAGTGCTTCGGCTAAAGGCTTTTCCACATTCACTACATTCATATGGTTTTTCTCCAGTATGGATCCTCTGATGTAGACTAAGGTGTGTACTCCGGCTAAAAGCTTTTCCACATTCACTGCATTCATAAGGTTTCTCTCCGGTGTGAGTTCTTTGATGTTCAATAAGGTGTGTACTTCGGCTAAAAGTTTTACCACATTCATTGCATACAAAAGGCTTTTCTCCACCATGAATTCTACTGTGGACAATAAGGTCTGATTGGTAACTAAAGGCTTTACCACATTCATTGCATTTACAAGGTTTCCTTTGCGGAAAAAGTTTTTGGTGTTTAATTAAGCCTGAATTATCTTTGGAGTTTTTCCTAGATATGGGGGACATAGCTCCCTTTGGAATTTTCTGCCGTGTATTAAGCTTTGAGCTTAGACTAAATTCACTGGATTCAGGGCCTCTCTCCCTAGTGAAAATTTCCTTGAGGGTCATAGACACTTTTCTAATTGCTGTTTTCTCAAAAGAAGATTTCTTCTGTGGAGGACATTTTGTCTGCCTTGATAACTGGCCCTCACTTTTACAGGCTTCTTCATTCATAGGACGTTGGGCAGTATTCCTTTGGAGACTTTCCATTGCTGACCCTGGAAACTCTAGTTCTTCAGAAATAGCCTGATTGGTGTTGATGCTTTGGTTCAGTTCAAATATCCCTATCTGAAAGACATTTAAAGTGCAAATGTCACCTGTGTCTAGTGTGGAGAGCAAGGAAAATAAACCAACAGGAAAAAAAGACAACTAATTTGCAATTCATGCACACTAGCAACTTTATATGGGCAGAGACTTAAAAGGGACAATGAAAGAGAAGTGAACAAGGCCAGAAGTGATAACAGAGTTTTCACAGTGGATGCACAGAGACATCAAGAAATACAGGTAGGGGCTTGGTTAAATGCTGAGCCCCCAAAATGAACATGAGCAGATATACCAATTGATGAGCAGAGAACAGGGGATTAGAAAGTAAAATGAGCTATTAGCTATTGTAGCCAATTAGTTATGGTAAATGAGAGACAGGAAAGGGATGAGAAAAGTAAAGACTCTCAAATGTAGAAAACATAACCACCACCACCCTGCCAAAATGCAAAAAGTGAGGAAGACTCTGTCAAGCTTGGATGCAACCATTTTCTTGGCAAAGAGAGAAAACAGAATTTCAGAAATGCTAACTATTACCCTGCTATCCCCATTTGATCTCCCTTTGATCCCCCAACCCTTCTTCCAGCTAGTTTAGGTACAAGTCTACAACCACAGACTTCAGAGGATTAACAGAGCTCATCATAACAGATCTTAACTTAGAGTTCATCAAGGCCAACTTGCTTATTTGACAGATAGAAAACAGAGTAACTTAAGTCACCCAGCAAATTGCAAGAGCTTAGGCTAGAACTCACGTCTCCGAAATTTCAAGTTAGTGGCCTTTTCATGACACTACTCACCCAGACAGATATTTTTGGTCACTCCCCTCTTCAGCTCCCTGAAGATCCAGTGTCTACAGTTGTTCTTTCTCCAACTGGGTGATCGTGTCCAATTCACATGCTGGGATCCCTGCTGATTGTAAATGATTTAACACAAGGCTATTGGTGCTGGAGACACAGGGCTATTGAGAGCTCAACATTAATGCTTTGATCTATAGAAAAGATAGTGTGTGGGAATTCCCTGGCGGTCCAGTGGTTAGGACTCCGCGCTTTCACTGCCAAGGGCCTAGGTTCAATCCCTGGTCGGGGAACTAAGATACCACAAGCCACATGGTGCGGCCAAAAAAAAAAAACTCCAAACAAACAAAAACCATAGTGTGCATTTTTAGAGGCTGTGGCAGGAGGGGCTGGAGAAAATGGGTATCTGAAAGTTCTGGGCTAAAACTCGTTCCAAAAGAAAGGTTATACACATACCCATCAGAATCACTTATGGAACTTGTTACTCTAGATACTGGGCATTACTTCAGACCTAGTTAAGTACAATGAGGCCCAGGCATTTGCATTTATTAAGTTCATATGACTCGACAAGTTGAATTGTCCAAAATGAACCTTAGAAACACTCTCTAGGTTGCCTGAAAAATGTGTTCACTGGGACCAGCCTTTCTACCAAACATTCTTCTCACAGCCAGAGGGTCTAAAACGTAAACTCAGCTTCCCTTAGGACAGGTGACTTCTTCCTTCTGCGGAAGGGCCAACACTTCCCAAGGATCTCAAGGTTTCCAGGTATTAGGCAGCTAGCTTTCCCAGACGATTCCTTTAAAAAGCTGGCACCCCACATTCAGACTGTACCAAGCAGTCTGTTTATCTGCCCACTCACAAGGTTGTTCTAACACTTGCATTATAATAAGGAAGAGCAGCAAGGCCCTCTCCTAGAATACTGACCTAAACTCGTGTATAGCAGAGCATCCTGGCTCTGGCAACCTTTCTGTTGGTAAAATGGGGAGGATATGGGAATCTGTGCCTACTCTTCCAGCCCTTCTCTGGACTGTATGTTTCCCCACTGAAGTTTTTTCTTTAACCCATTTTCTTGTAAATTCACTCAGAGCCCTTGGGCATGACAGTAGGCAACAAATTGTATAATAGTTCCCCTAATGTTTCTGCTCACAGCACAATTTAAGATCCACTAGGTTAAGAGTTGATCTGGTTTCACAAGTCTTGCCTTTCTCAGAGACTGGGAGCCTCCCACATGTGGAAGTGAATCCTGGAGGATGTTCATGAAGAAGCCATCCATGGAGAACCTCAAGAGCAACATGACGATGCTGTCTGTGTCCAGCTTTGCCAAGAACATGCCTTTCAACTGAAAGCAGGGAATGCAAAACTCTACCACTAGGTTGACTGAGAAGTCAGAATTTCTAATTTATTTAGAACCTTGCAATAAAATCCAGTTGCATACTTTTTGGCGCTAACATTCCTTAGTAGGCATTTGTCTTACTGCTTAGGTTGGCTGGCCTACATTCTTGCAGCCCAGATCCTTAAGCTACTCCATCATTATTCTGTTGGCAGTTCACTGTTACTTCTCTCCTCTATTACAGTAATCCTCAAGGCAGCAATATCACCTCCTAGGGAGAGTTTTGGGAATTTGTGAGGGTTTGTGTGTGTGGTTTTTTTGTTTTGGTTTGGTTTGGTTTTGGTTTTGGTTGTCATGTTGATTGGATGGGGCTATTAGAATTTAGTGAGGGCCAGGGATTCCTGTAAAACAAAGAATGTCCCTTATCCTGCCAGACTTTCAAAAGAGTTGTTAATGGTTACCTGAGACTGGAACTACTTTACAAATAAATACAAAGTATTTTGCACAACTTTGCTATGTATTGGAAAATCAAGGAAATATACTTCTTTTTCTTTGAATGATATTCGGAATTGTTCGCCATTTTAGGAAAATCAAGCCACTCATGATATTAGATTCACAAATACGACATTCACATATCCGTCTGCATTTGTAGCTGTTGTATTCACATGATTCTATGAATAGGTACAAGTGTCTATTTCATCCAATCATTTACATGCTGAAAAACTATTATTCTATTATAAATTACTTTCCTTTTCTTTCTCCTTTATATTACAGTTAAGGTAACGTAGTGATATTCTGGAAATTATATCTATAGGTAGTTAATATTATCTATAAATTTTATTTCAAGATAGTAAAGGGGATGGTAGGTTTGAAAGGTAGAAAATTACTTCTCTAGTGCAATAGAACTAAAGTATTAACAGTTACACAATAGATAAATAGTGACTGTCTCAGGCGGTAAATTGCAAAGCCTCTAAAGCCTTAAAGCAAAAGTCCTTGTCCCCAACAGAAGTCCTTGAAGATCTGAGAACACCCAGACTACCATAAAGGTGACATAGGAGCAGTGGGAATTTTGTACATAGTGGAATATTATTACATTATTACATATTACATTCCATCTTGGAGAAGAGATATTGTTGAGAAGAGATTTTGTTCAGGTTTTTGGAGACAAAGGGAAACCAGGAAGATCTGAAATGTGAAGATCTTTATAAACTGACTCACTAGAACCATTAAAACATAGGACATCTAAAAGTAGGCAGGATCTCCTGAACAGAGAGAGAACTAGGACAGAGTTCAAAGGAGAGAGCCAATTTGAAGTTGAGGGTTTACTCTCATGCTTATTAATACCTTGATGATTGGTAAAATATGCCAATTTGATATAAGATAATTATAATTTAATGTGTATATAGTGTGCAGTACAAGAGTCCCAAGATGTAGTTGTTTTTGCATTTCAAATAAGCTCATGACATGTGTAACTGTATTATGCATTATGTGTTTGTATATGTGACACCTATGACAGACACACAGAAACCACATTGGGGAAAGTTTCTACATTAAAAAAAAAAAAGAACCCAACTGTGAAAGGAACGTGAGTTGGAGGTGCAGCCTCTGGAAAGGCCCGTTTTTGGTCTTTTCTCTTGGGTCTGCCTATTCTAAGCATTTTAAGAATACGGACTCATTTTTGCCTCACAACAATGAGAGGGTTACTATTATTATTTCCACAATACAAATGAAGAATTTGAGGTACAGAAAGGATAAGTAATTTGGCCCAAGGCCAAGTGATAAATCCTGGACTCAAACTCACTACACTACATCATACTTACTGCTTCTCAACAAGCAGGGAAAAAACACTTGAGTCATGCTTTCCATTCATATGGCCTCTAAAGGGCCAAGAAACTAAACCACTGATCCCAGGACCCCAGCATGACCTTGACACAAGAGTGACTACCTCTGAGAGATGACTATCCTGAGAGGCTGCAATAAGTCCCAACTACACTAAACGCCCTATCGGGGTAAACTAAGGATTAAATTTCCTGGCTTCCACTAAAGTGCCACCACAAAGCAAGTGGCATCCTTGGCATAAATCAGTGAAACACCAGAATGTTGCCTCTCCTTTTCTCTTTTTCTCCTTTCTTCCTCATACTTTAGTTTTATCTGGATCACCTTACTGGTCTATAGATATTGTAACCTTACCAAATCATTATTCTCGAAAGTACAGTGGTCACAAAGTGCTGCAGCACCAGCAAAACCCATTCTCCTCTTTATATGACTAACTTTCCAGCCCGCACAGCCCCTAACCATCTGAAATTCTTTTGACCATGCCACTTTCTCTTATAATCAATTGCTGATCTTGGAATAATTTTCCCTTGTATATACTCCCTTGAATATTAAGAAATTATCTCATTCAGAAGGAAGCAGGTTCTGAAATAGCTCTTCTTCTGGTGCTTTGCTTTCTGGTATCGGGCTGACTACTTCCTGGAGCCTTTGTGAATACACAAGAGTCAGCAGGAGGGCCTAGGCAGCCTCTGTTCAACTCTAAAACAGAGACAGTCAAGTCTCCAGGCCTACCAAAAGATGGTCTTCAGACAACAGTGTCCTTGAAGATTGGTTCAAAGTCACAACAAATTCACAGAATTTGATATACAGCATTTGTCAATACCCCTAACAACATCTACTATACTGAAGTACAACCGTCATCATCAGAACCATAAGATAAATACTACTACTCTCAAGCTCTGTAACTTTAAGTAAGGTACTTCATCTCTGTGTGCCTCAATTTTAAAATCTGTAACATGAGGATAATAATCGTACATCTCATGGGGTTAACGCGAGGATTAAATGAGTTGACGCAGGTAAAAACTCTTAGAACAGAGCCTGGTACACGATAAGCATCTGGGAAACACCCCGAGTACAGAAGCCCTTCCTTGCCCAGCTAGAGCGGAGCGGAATGAAACTCTGAGCTTTTCCATCTCCCAGGGGTTCACCGGAGAACACCACCTGCTGTCACTGCAGCTGAGGAGCTAGGTTGTGCCCACCCGCAAGGCGAGCGCTGGGCGCCGCGCAGAGACACCATGCCGCGTCCCAGCCGCGGAGGCACCTCTCGGCCGGATGTGAGGCCAGACCACCCTTGGACCTCTCGCCGGTCTCCCCCCGAGAGAGTTGAGTGTTTCCGCACGACCAATTCCTAGAGCCTCCAGGCCCACCCGTCCAGGCCCCGGGACCCGGAGCCCTACGTGCCCCACTCACCGGCCGCCTCGGGGCAAGCGCCGGGACACACCCTGGGCCGGACCCACGCTTAGACGGAACCTTAGTACGCGGGGCTTGAGGAAGCCGGAAGGATTAACGGAAAACCCTTGCGTCGACCCACTGCTCCCGCGCTCACCAAGGTTCCCGAGGTCACAGACACTCTTCCACTCAGACCCTTGGTCGTGTCCTTGTCAGTATGTGGGGCCAGTCATTGCCTGATCAACGGCCCTGACCTAATTCTCCTGGAGCAGATGATCTGTTAGAGAACAGAGACGATGAGGAGAATGGGCAGCACACCAGAGGCCGTGGCTCTGCGCCTGCGCTGCAGAGTCCGGGACCGCCAGGTTGTTTCCCGGAGATTTTTGCAAAGCACTTTCCCTGGTGTGTGTGACGCCGAGATTGAGAAGTTGATGCTAGAGGCCTGAGAAAGTTGATGCTGGAGACCCTAGAAAGGTCCTGAAGATCTTAATACATTCTATGCAGTATAGTCCAAACCAGTGGTTTAGTTTTAAACAGCATACCCGCAGAGCTGGTTAAAATGCAGATTCCCAGGCTTCGCACTCGTTGGTCAGAGGAAAGTCCCAGAAACACTGCATTTTCAGGGGGCATCCCAGGTAATTCTTATGCAGGTGGTCCTCAGACCATCTCTGGGGAAACAGGCTTTTTTGCACAGTCTAGATGCTTAGATGCAATTAAATGCAGGACACTTCCCAAATTCCATCAAGAGAAGTAAAGGTAAATAAAATCAGGATCCTATTCTGGTCATGAAGATTTTTACCTATGTTTTATCCTAAGAGTTTTATAGTTTTACTCTTAAATTTAGATCTTTGAATTTTTTTTTGTATTTGGTGTAAAGTAAGGGTACAACTTCATTATTTTGCATGTGGATATCCAGTTTTCCCAGTACCATTTGTTGGAAAAGACTGTTACTTCCCAATTATGTGGTCTTAGCACTGGTTGAAAATCAGTTGATATATATGTGGAATTTGTTTTTTCTGGGCTTTCTTTTCTATTCCATTGGTCTAGACGTATATCCCTATTCCGGCACCACACTGTTGAGATTACCACTGTGTAGCTTTGTGGTAAGTTTTGAAATTAGGAAGTATGAATCTTCCAACTTGTTCCTTTTCAAAATTTGGTTTGGTTTTGAGGGTCCCTTGAGATTCCATATGAGTTTTAGGATGGGGTTTTCTATTTCTGTAAAAAACATGGTTGGTATTTTGACAGGGAGTACATCAAATCTGCTTTGAGTAGTATTGCCATCTTAATATTGTCTTTCAATTCATAAACATGGTATGTCTTTCCATTTACTTAGGTCTTCTTTAATTTCTTTCAGCAATGTTTTGTACTTTTTGAAGTACAAATCTTTTTCCTCCTTGGCTAAATTTCTTCATAGGTATTTTATTATTTTTGATGCTATTGCAGATGGAATTCTTTAATGAATAGAGCAACCAGATTAGTTTAAAAAAATAGAGGATTTGAGCAACAATATAAACCAGTTAGACCTAACAAAATATACATATAGAACATTTCACCCAACAACAGCAGAACACACATTCTTCTCAAGTGAACATGAAACATTCTCCAGGATAGAGCATATGTTAAACCACAATAAAAGCATTAATAATTTTTAAAAGATTAATATCATACAAAGAATATTTTCTGATCAAAATGGAATGAAACTAGAAATCAATAACAGAAGGAAAATTAGAGAATTCATAACTGTGTGGAAATTAAATAACATAGTCTTAAACAAAAAAGAACATAAAAGAAATCACAAAGTAAATTAGAAAATAACTTGAGAAGAATGAAAACAAAAGCACAACACACCAAAGCTTATGGGGTGAAGCACTGTTTTTTAAAATCCCCTAGAGGTTGGGAAGCCATTTCAGCTCTTTGGAGTTAAAACTATGGCTGGACTCTGTACTGGCTCCTCAGCAATCAAAAGCAGTGATAAGCAATCAAAACATTAAACCCCAATGTTTAGAGTGCAAGGTCTTTATTGCCTACCACAGCACCAGAAAGCTACACCAGGAGCAAGGCCCATAGTTCCCACTGGCTGCCTGCCACAGTGCTAGGAGATGGGGGATGGTAGCCATTGCATGAAACAGATTCACCAAAATTTATCAATCTCTTCATCAGTCTCTCTTCTGGACTCTGCAAGTGTTTGACTAGACCCCAGATTTCCAAAAGAGTTGCTTCATACAGTCCTGCGAGCTCAATAGTTGTTTCTATGGAGGGACTGATTCCTGGACATTCCTACTCATCCCTCTTCCATGACATAACTGTCATTTCCTTTCACAAATCATGGAATGAAGAGTGAAATGACACAGACAGATACAAGGCTAGAATTAAATCTTGTGTTCTTTAAGGGGGAAAGTGTCTCCTGAATATAAGGAGTTTAAGCAATATAAGGAGAGAAATTGGTTGGAAGAAGAGGGACAAGAAAAAAATTTTAATCTTAAAAACAGAAGAAATGCTGAGCATACTTAACTTACACCTTTCTATGTGACTTCTTGGACTTCGTGTCTTTACAATTTTTGTACTGCAGAGAAATTTAAAATCCATTTGTAAACAATTGCTGTGAATTTTGAAATGGGACTTTTATGAACTTCTATCAAACTTACCTTTAAGATTTTCCCAATTTGTATATCTGTTGCTTCATGTGAAAGAAACTTCTTAAAATGAATTTAATAAAATAAAGCATTCTTCCTACCATACGACCCAGCAATCCCACTACTGGGCATATACCCTGAGAAAGCCATAATTCAAAAAGCGTCATGTACCACAATGCTCATTGCAGCACAATTTACAATAGCCAGGACATGGAAGCAACCTAAGTGTCCATCGACAGATGAATGGATAAAGAAGATGTGGCACATATATACAATGGAATATTACTCAGCCATAAAAAGAAACAAAATTGAGTTATTTGTAGTGAGGTGGATGCACCTAGAGTCTGTCATACAGAGTGAAGTAAGTCAGAAAGAGAAAAACAAATACTGTATGCTAACATATATATATGGAATCTAAAAAAAAAAAAAGGTTATGAAGAACCTAGGGGCAGGACAGGAATAAAGACGCAGACGTAGAGAATGGACTTGAAGACATGGGGAGGGGGAAGGGTAAGCTGGGACAAAGTGAGAGAGTGACGTGGACTTATATATACTACCAAATGTAAAATAGATAGCTAGTGGGAAGCAGCCACATAACACAGGGAGATCAGCTCAGTGCTTTGTGATCACCTAGAGGGGTGGGATAGGGAGGGTGGGAGGGAGATTCAAGAGGGAGGAGATATGGGGATATATGTATATGTATAGCTGATTCACTTTCTTATAAAGCAGAAACTAACACACCATTGTAAAGCAATTATACGCCAATAAAGATGTTAAAAAAATAAAGCGTTCTTCAATCAGCTACAAGGGATGATAAATTGACAAATCTGGCTATACTGTCTATCCTATTGAAAACAGGATAAATTTTGTCAGTCATTGAGAAATTTGCAGAAGACTCAAAAACAGAAACTATGAAGTTATTATTCATTACTGCAACACACTAATATGTAGGTGAGTTTTTTTCATCTTTTCCCAGAAATACATTCATGTAATTAAAAATACCAATCCATTATTTTAAAAGTTTTTGGCCTATATTAAAAACTTTTTTAAAACTTTCATAATTATATGTGAAGTGAAATAAAGACTATTTCACTGGCCATTATTATTATTCATTCCATTTCAGGATTATTACTGAAAATAATTTTTCTTGTACAGAGGAGAGAAGTGTTAAAAAAAATTATCTGCTCTTGATGTTAAATAAGCCTTGGTAAGGGTACCCAGATTATATTCCTAAAGAACATAAATGGAACCTGAGACTCTGGTTTTACGCAGGCGTTATTCTCTGCCAAGAAGACGAAGACATGGGAGGATAAACAAAACTGGATTGCTAGCAGGAAGACAGGCGGACTTAGAGTGCTAAGCTTGACCCTTGGTTCCTAGGTTCAGATCAAAAACCGCTGCCTCGAGCGCTGGGACCAATCTGGCTGTTTCCATGGAGACGGCGGGAGCGGCTGGTTGCACAGGATTCCCGGCGCCTCTGTTGCGTCATTTCCCACCGCTGGCCCTTGGCTCCGTCGCCCCAGCCCGCGTTAATTGGGAGGGTGAATGTCTGTTGGGAGCCTGAATAGTGTGTTCCGGAGTATTGGCTGACAGCACGCTTTGCCCTTTCGGAAAAGCTTTCTATGGAGATGCCCCACTGTCAGTTGTGAGGCTGCGGCACCACAAGGCTCCGGACAGAGTCGTGGGAGTGTCTGGATGGATAGCTACGTATCCTGGCAACCGCCTGTCCTCCAGGTGAAGTCTCGAGTTTTATTGCCAATGCTGGGGTTTGTTCCAGGCAAGTGTGCACATCAAGGCCTTTCTTTAGCACTTGTCTGCCTTTTCCGTTCTGTTTTTCCTCGTAGGTTTCCCCATTGTGGGATCTGTGTTGCTCCCTGTTCAAGAGATCGGTTGGGACACACTCAGGATGACTGTTTCTGCCAGAGTGATTTTGGGGACTCATGCTTTTTCTTTAATAACAACGTCATGCACCTACTTTACATCCTTAAAATGGGCTTTATAAAAATCATTTGGCCATTCTTGTTACCTCCCGGAGTAAGTAGGACTTGAGGACGAAGGCTGCAGTATTCTTTCTCGAGGTGCAGAGTGAAGGTTCTCTCCACAGAGATTCATTTTTTTGTGTTGGACACTTCTCATTGTTTCTTTTAATCTCCAGCTCCCAGAGCCATAGAAATAAAGTACTCCTTCAGAGTGAAAGCATTTTTTTACCCAAATGGAATAGAAAGTATCAGAGAGCAACACATATAGAAAGGGCAAGTATTTGTTTTGTGAAGATTTTGTGTATTCAAGTGTGTGTAATGGGTTATAAAACGTATTACACTGTGGTCAAAAGTAGACACTGACTTACAACGAACTATATGCCATATAGGAGGACAGAGGAGACACGTGAGACACAGAGAACTCCCTCTGTCAGGAGATAACCTTTGACTCGAGATTTTCAGATGGACAAAGTCCTCTGGTGCTAAGGAATGCTCTGAACAGACTGCCGGGAAAGATTAGCATTTAGGTGATGGCACAGTATCTGAGGA